ATTACATAGTATCATAAGTTATGTTGAATTTAAGCTAATAAAATATGCTCTTTCTTACACATCTTTAATGCCTTCTCCTCATTTAGTAAGGCAGCATGTCTTAAATATTTTTCACCCTTCTTTTTATCTTTATTAATTTCTATTCCTTTATAATAAATGTTTCCAAGAGTATACATTCCCATAGGGTTTCCACCTTCAGCAGACATTTCAAAGAATTTAATTGCCTTGCGGATATTCTTGGGTACACCTTTACCATGCCATAGGCAATATCCATATCGAAGCTGACCATCTGTTAGACCTTCATCAGCTGTTTCCTTAAAAAGTTCGGCTGCTTTCTTAAATCGACATTGTTTTTCTTCCCGAGTTTCTTCAGAATTAAATTGATTATTTTCTTTATCAAGATAATAACCATACCAGTACATTGCAGTGATGTTACCATATTCTGCATGAACCTTGAATGCTTCAAATGCATTCTTTTTATTTCCATTCGGCTTTTTATGTTCTATAAGTGCATCTTGAATACTTAAAACATTTTTAAGATTCATATGATTATCACTCACATCAAGATCAGGAAAGTCATCATAGGACTTTTCATTCAAATCATTTGGGCTATCTATTCTGGTTGAAGGAGAAATAGAAATATCAACATTGTCAAAAATTAAGTTTGATTTATAGGATGAGACACCAACGCTATGTTTTAAAGAAAGTTCAAATAAAATGTTAAAAATTTCGCTCAAAGCTAGTCGAAGATTTGGATCATAATGCGTTGCTACAAAATGATTTGAATGTTTGGATTAATAATCCTTGTATAAAGTAACTAATTATGAATCATAATAAGAAATCTACGAGTATGATACCTTTATTAGTAATTTCCTGCCATTCTTTCGGAACTTCAAAACTGAAGTTGAGAGTAGTTTTTTTATTAAGAACAAGCTTTTTAAGCATTAAAATATCCTGACATTCACCAAATGGTTCTTTACATTCAGCAATTTCCCAAAGAAGTCTACCAAAACTATTAAAAACTTAGTATCGTATCATGTGAATCTATGTTGATAGTCATATTATTGCTATAAAGTCTTGGACTTACCTGAAAATTTCGCATTTTATATTATATCTCTGTGATTCATTCACTAATTTCTCTGGAGCAATGTATCTCATCTTTTCTAATGTTCGTTTCATTGGATTGGTATCCGCGCTAAAGCAACGACTATATAATTGAAATAATTGCATTTATATAACAGATATGTGCTGTGAAAAAGAAAAATGTCAAAACACTATTTATTTATCATTACCTTCGAGTAAAATTTGCGAGTTTAGCTGTATACCGATCAGTAATCAAAACATTTTCTGACCTCAAATCATGATGATAAATAGATACAGAATGAAGAAAGGTTAATGCTCGAGCAATATCAAGAGCTATATTAACTTTTATGTTCCAGAAGGTTATAGCATCATTTTCCATATAAAATTTTTTAAGATTTCCATTCTCAGCCCATCGTGTAACAAGATAAATACCAGTATCTCTTTCAACAAGTCCATAGAATTCAATAATATGTTTACAATCCTTTAATCGTTTCAAGATTAATATTTCACTTTTGATATTTTTATTCTCCTCGCCTTTAGTAGCATTTGAATTAGTTAAAAGTTTTAATGCTACCGGTTCAGTACCACTAGTAGGATTTTTGTAAAATGCTTGTACAATTTCTTCACTTTTCAATCCATTTGGATTATCAATTATAAGATCTTGATTAATCATTACAGATGAAAATAATTTATTATTGATTGGAAAAGTACCATTTTGCCATGCAATATTCATGATCGCAATATCTTCCAGATTTGGATTAAATATTGTTTCAGTTTCAATTCTTTTTGTAATGCCACCTTCTATTCGCTCCATAAACTAATAATTGAATACGCGCAATTAGTAAGTATATAATGAATTTATAAATAAATAGATATGAAGATTACATGTTTAAGCTCTTCTAGATCCTTAAGAATTATATGACTTATATCTGATGATCTCACAACCATACTAAATTGTAGTAAATTCATAAGACTATCAAATTCTTCCAATAATGTTACAAATCTTGACTTAATTTCTGATGCTTGTAAAAATTTTCGCAATCCTATCATTTCATAAAGAAAAAATAAAAGTTTAGAGTAATGAACGTCAAGGTGATGTTAATTTTCCTATCTAAACATAATATATATTATTTACTGTATTGCTTCGACAAAATAATTCCCAGGCAGATTAAGCCAATATTTGGCATAAAAAAAAAAAAATAGAACCTTTATTCATATTCTATTTATCATAACTTATAATACTTACCGGTAATTTGTGATACTTCCTTTACAAAATTTTTAATTTTTTCTATGACATCAGTAAACTTTTGAAACTTCTTATAAAATTCGATTGA